CGCACTTTATCCCCTATCTTGGCCGCGGCTCCGTCTAGACACTGACACTGCGTGGTCGGTATGGTAAGCAGTTACGTACCTTTATTATTAATGACTGTTGGCAACCTGTGGATACTACGCTGTCATTCCGCCGTAGCTTGTCGTAGCTATTCATATCCACTTCGGACTCAGTCTGAAAAGGTTTCGGTTCCGACGGCGTTACTTCAGTTTGGCGCATTAATTACCTCGGAAGTCAACCAAGGCAGCATGCAGAACAGAAGTCCCTATTGCTATAAAATAAAGGCGGAAGGCCTGGAAGATCTCGAACTCCCTACTTTTTAAAAGTGCCGTCCCTCGCCTAGTTCCTTATGCAGGATGATTGGCAGTCGAGGGGACACGGCAAGTGAACTGCTAAAAAGACGCCTTGACCAAGCCGTTTCACAAGCCCTCCCAGCAGCCAAAGTTCGGGTATTATTCTCAACCAACCTATCTTACATGGGAAGGTAAGCATAGGTTACCAGCTCAGACCACTTCTGTGTGCATCTATTTATTTACTTGCTCCTGTGGAGCAGGTTATATTAGTCGCACGAGCCGGCGCCTATCCGAAAGAATAAAAGAACACCATCCGACATGGCTGAGAAAGGGCGAAGTCATATCTGCTTCATCTTGAAACTTTTCGTCTATAACCCAAGCAGGGTTTTGCGTATACAAATGAAAACAGGACGTAGATCTAGAAGGTGCATGTCCCTAGAAACCATCCCACGAAGGACTCCGCAGACTAGAGGGTCGGTCTTTTTCGCTGGAACCATTTTTTTTCATTCAAGAGTCGATCAACAAAGAAAGTAACAGTCATATGCCTTAACTAAGCAAAAAGCAGGGGCTTGCAGCATGATGAATTTCTATTAAATGACTCAAGCATAATCCGGAAGCCAAGTTTGGATCGTATTAATTACAACGAGTAGATGCACCACGAAGCTCCATAAATCGCAAAAATGATATCAGACCCGTACTCTGAGAAACCATCCCATAAGGGACTCCGCAGACTGGCTAGTGGATCTTATTCTGCAAAGTAGAAGCACATGACAATGGACTCAAAGATGTTTATATGCCCATTTAAGTAATAATTCTAGTCGCTAATGGAAATACCATTTTCACTGGACGTTGAGTTGGGCTACAGCAGCTGATGGCTTCGCCTAGTTAAATAGCGCTGAATAGTAGGTATATTTATGTG